TGAATAAAAATAATTACCACCCTCTCTTCCTATTATCCATAACACATCTATCGGTGGTACTGAATCTGCGCAATCTGGATCCTAAATAAATAATTTTTTATTATATTATCTGTGAATTAAGTTTGTAAATTTAAATTTAAGAAAAAGCTTATTTTATTTGTGCTATTAAACAATTTTTTTGTATTTTATTCAATAAAATGTGTATATTTTTTTATCTAAAGAAAATGAAATTTAAAATTATTTTTGTTTCAAATATTATTATTCAATCAATGTCAAATTGTTTTACTCATTATTTTGTACTTTTACATCATTAAATATTAATGCTACTTACAGACAAAGTATCCATTAAACTCTTAACCTTTTCTTCATCCACTTGTGGTGGAATTGGTCTTATGATTTCATTTAGAGGCATTTCATGAATTTGTTCAATTCCAGCTGAGTGGACACTAGTACACCTTTTGTTCATAACTAAAACATTTKAATTGTTTGTAAGTCGTAATGTCAAAGTATATATTTTTCTCAAAAATTATAATAGCAGATTTTTTCAAACTTATCATTGTGTTTAAAATAACTTTAAAGTTGATATGACTAACAAGTTTTTTATTGTAACCAAGATAATTTTTTAAAAGTTTAACTCTTAGATTTGTGACAGTATTGATGCCGTTTAGTTATATTTTTAAAATGTTTGTAATTGGTAGTGAATAGTAATGTATATCCAAAGTTACAAAATTATGAAAATCAATTGTAATACACATTGTTAATCGACTACTACTGTAATAATCTGGCTAACTGTAGATTTATAATTATATATATTATATATCTTACTTTCCGTAATTATATTTGACCTGGACACTACAAATCTTTTAAATTGATTCATAACATGTGGACTGTGGATAATAGACCAAAATACTACACCATTATTAAATAAAATAAAAAAAATAAACAAATAGTGGTATAGTTATTATGTAACTAATTTGCACTGCACTCAGCTTCTATAAATTATATCAAATTATTGTCACTTCCAAGTTCTAATTACTAATGCCTATTGCATATTCTTATGTAATAAATCCCACTCCTTACTATATGGTTTTACTTCTAGTTCGAATATAGAGTTATAGAATGAGGATACAAATACAACGACAAATAATAATAATAAGCTTCCAAAATAAACACTGGACAGTCAAGGTAGTGATAATTTCTTTTTTACTATCACTTATACTGTATAAGTGTAAACTAGTGGAACAAGGCCCGGTCTATGTAAAATTAAATTTAAAAAATACATGTATAAAAAATAATATATACATATATATTAAAAAATACGCTTTTATCACAGAATAGATAGTCTGCTATTGTCGTGGATAATATAATATATTCATATATTTTTATGTATTATCTATCGCTACTGCATCTTGCACCGAGATAACTGATAAGTTCACTAATATCAATGATATTATCATGCTTAACAATATTATTACGTTGTGTAGTTGTGTTTCATATTGCTGACAACCGACAACATAGATAGGAATATTAATAATTCATAATATTATGTTGTTTATGACGTTATTATGTATGCTTAGTGCTTACGTTTACGTACTTAGTAGTTGGTTCAGATGCCGCACGAATGACCGTAAATAAAAAACTATTCATAACAATATCAATATGTTAATATTATGTGTATCAGCTGTCAAGAATAGGATCACTGTTACTGTGATGAGTGATGACACCCAAAAATTCTTGATTATTCGAGAGTAAAGTTAGGCTCACCGCTTGGTTTACCATTATCGTCAACATTAAACAGTTAGAACTTTTTACCGTAGATACTACCCTCTGGTGGGCTGGCAGGCAGTCTGTAGTTGGTAATTCGTTCCGGCGAATCGCGAATTGAGGAAGCTATTTTTTTCGTCTACTTCTGGATGATTGTTTTGGCGATATTTTGAATGACAATAGTCAATAATAATGTCATAGAATATAACAATAATATTGTTATTATTTTTTTATTTACTATACATTTCTCCGTGTATGCGCGTGCGCCTGATTTAGTTTTGTGTACTTGTGTGTTTGTGTGTGTGTGTATATGTATATTAAAATACATGTCTATATTATTATAGTCTAATATAGTCAATGTGCGGTGGGTGGTCAGTCGTGTCGCCGTCACATCGTCTTCGTCTGGATGAACCCGTCGTTTTAATCACTTTCGAGTTCGACATTGCTTCCGTGTAGTATAATATTGGCTATTGAGTTACCACTGCACAATTGTCCGTGTGCCGGACTTTTGCAGACAATATGTTCTCCTCTGACGGACGACCGGAGATGGTCTCTGGCCAACGATGGGAGGCGCGCGCCAGGGTCGATTTTCCGTTACACTACCTGATATGGTTGCGTGAGCACAAACTGTTGGAGGAGAAGCTAGATGCAACCGGTTCCGATCAACAGCCCACCGCTAAGGTAAATTATGTTGCGTAACCWCTAGTTCTTCGCATAGCTCCATACAAAAAAAAGTTTTATTTAATTTATCCAAAATGTATAATTTTTTACTTCAATATTTATTTCACATCTACCCACAAGGGGATTTTGAAGAGCATTTATCTAATATTTCAACTTCAGTTGGCCTGGAACAAACCCTACTGCAGAGAACAATAATATGAGTAGGGATTGATTAATCTCAACTATATATTTTCCTGTCAGTTTTCATCAATGTTTATTGTACATTTAAGGTTTTTATCAAATTGTTCACTATATTGGAAGAATTCAAAATCTTAATACCATTATTTTTATTACTTTTTTTTTTTAATTGAGGGACCTCACATTTTTACTTGCATTTTTATTAAATTTCTAAAGATTTCCAATCTATTAACACTTAAGCTAAATTATAAATTGTAGTTAATAACCTTAGTGTTTAAAAATTTTCAATTAAATTTCATTAAAATAAAAAGAATTATTTAATTTTGGTACTTACTATTAGAACTTTGGTTTGAAATTGGTCTAGTGGAATAAACATTTGTTTTTGTAAACAACATGTTTGGAAAAAGGATTGTTTGTAGTGCCAGACCTTGAACTCTTAGAGTGATGGTRCGACATTTAKGGGTTCTTAATTTAAAAAAAWTTTATAAAGATCCACAATATCCATAATGTTAAGGCCCCCCTAATATTTCTAAGAGCCTGGATCCCGGTTTATCTGGTACTGATTATTTGGTGTAACTATACTTACAAACTTTGTATTACCAATAATTATAATTTCATAAACATTTATATAACCAAAGTACCTATTTTAGGCATTAAATTGAATGAATCTTAATGTATTATTATTTTTTTTTGAAACATTAATTTTATAATCACCGAAAATTTCTTTTCTGTATTTGTAATTAATGACACATGTAGTAACATTAGGATGTGTGTGCAACATTTTATCTGGTGCAGTGCTCATTTTTAAAAAATCTAACAAAATAAAATGTAGACCAAATTGGCCATTTATTTCCTTTATTATGTTAGGTATACGCAAATGGTGTGAGAGATAAATATTATTTATTCATATCATTCAAAGTAGTACATATTTTTATAGATACATCAGTATTTGATGCTTTACAGTTTAAAGAAAGTTCCTTTTGAGGTAGGTACAAGTATGAAATTATGTAAAATTTAAATAAAAGTGATTTATTATATAAAAAATGCATACATATAATATAGGAAGACTTATTCATATGTTTATTTAATTATATTTTGTTAAAAATATTGTTTG